CCCAGGTGGTCAGGCCTGCGCCCAGGTGGTCAGGCCTCCGCGCAGGAGCAAGCTGGGTGCCCGCGTGGAGTGTCCGCCTCGCAAGCACAGCCGTGCGCCTTGGCCTCAGGCTCCTGCCCACCCGTCCTTGGGCCTCCAGGACGATGAGTGACACGGTTCTACCTCTGCCCGCTGCCAGCACCCGTGCGGACGTTCTGCGGGGGGCCACCGTGCACCCCGCTCTGCAGGGACTGCAGGTCCGGGTCTGGCTGAGCTGACACGGGGCCCTGGGGCCCGCGTGGCGTGGGGGCCTGCCGAGAGCACTAGCCACGACAGCCAGCGGCCAGGCTGCGTCCTCCGGCCCCGGGCTGGCCTGGCTGCGTCCTAGCCGGGGCTTCGCCCCTCCCGCCACCTGCCCGGGCCCCCGGAAGGGAGGTTCTCTCCAGGCCCGTAGCTACGGCCACCACTGTCACGAGGCAGTTTGATGTCTGGTCTTCGCCCCTCGCGCACGCGTCTCCTCGCGGGGGATGAGGCTCTGGGGGGCGATGCCCAGGCGGCAGCAGAGACGCCCTGGGGCTTGGCCCGTCTGGCGTTGGCAGGAAGGCTCCGGCCCCAGCCCTGCTTCATCCTGGCCCCTTGATCTTCTCTGGGCTCCCCTCTGGGCTCCCCCTTCCCTCCTCTCCCGGGAGGCTCAGCTCTGCTCAGCTCTGCTCCCGCCGTGTGGCCGGCTGAGGAGCTGGGTCTGCTGCTTGCTGCTCCAGCCCTGTCCGCCTGCCCGCGCCCCCACCCACCCCCAGTCCTCCCTGGGTGCCGACATCTCCACTCAGAAACCTGACAGGAACGCGCTGAGATAATTAGGGGCTGATTTTATGCAGAAGTCTGGGTCGGCTGGAGTGCAGGTGCCAAGTCCAGACCCACTTCCCTGTGAGGGATCAAGCTTTCTTCTGCGCCCAGCGGGGAGCCCCCTCCCCCAGCCCCCCTGCACTGCCCGGCTTGCTGTCCCCGCTCTCACTCAGGTGGTTCCTCAGTGGCACCGGCCACCGGCTGACCTGACGTGCTCTGATGACTCCTCTGCCTCGCAGTCGGAGGGGTTTGAGGGCCCCCCTCTCCTGCAGGAGGGGCCCGCGGGCCAACACTGGCCACTGCAGCTGTGAGCGCGGAGCCCTCCCCTCCCCGCAGGGCCCCGGGCCACGTCAGCGACCCCAGGCAGGTGCCCCCTGTGTCCTGCACCTGGCGTCCAGGGCAGAGTCTCCCACTTCGTCAGGTCCTGTCCCAGGCCATGCCCCCGGCCACGGCCTCTGCGGTGATAGGGCTGGGGCCCACCTGGTGCCCTGCAAGTGCAGGAGAGCTTGCAGGCCGCCAGCCAGGAGCAGGCCAGGCCCCGATGGACGGTCCAGAATCCACAGGGACACGGGTCAGAGACGTGTTGGGAGGCCCTGCCTGGCCGCCCGGCTGTCCGCTCTCTGTCCTGCCCTCCACCAACTCTTTCTACTTTCTGGAAGTTGTTAAAACTCTTTCAAGTCACAAGTGGGTGTGCAACTTGACAGGATCCAGTCACGCCGGCACTTCACACAGTTGCTGATAGGTGGCAGGCAGGCAGGGCGGGGGCCGGGGTCCCCTCCGTTGGGCTAAAAGGCCCCAGGGGGCTGGCAGAGCGGGCTCACCCCGGTCGCTGGGCTGGGTTTTGATTCTGCAAAGTGTGTCAAATGCAAGGAAAGGAAGAATATTTTGGGGGTTAGGGTCTTTCACACTAAACAGAATTGGCAGTTTTGGAAATGAAAGTCTGGGAAGCTTTTCCTGTAGAAATGAGAAAACCCAAGGTCACCCGGAGGCCGTCGCCCTCGACGGAAAAGGCAGGGGCAGGGCGGGGCGCTGGGCCTCGCCGTCGCCCCGCGTGTAGGAACATGGGGGCCGCGCCCCGAGGGCACGGTCTGAGGCGCCTTGGCATCGTCTTACGCCATTGTCACGTTTACTCGGTAACAAAGCGCGCTCATCAGGTGAGCACATCCGAGAATGTGCACTGGAAGGTCCGAATACAAGGGCTGCTATCAATAACATTTTTATTGCACAATAAGTGCATTTATTGCAGAAACGGGTGCCGGGAAGGGCACTCTCAGCCGGTGCTCCGCGTCGTCGTAGCGTCACCTGGGTGTTTCGGGGCCAGCGGCCTGCGCGGTGGAGGCGGGGTTTGGACTCAGGTGTCGGGCCCGGGGCCGGCCAGGTCCACTCTCCGGGCCGCCGTGCAGCGTCCTGAGTGCCGAGGGCGCCGTGGTCCCTCCGCGTCAGATGCTCGGTGCTGGAGCTCACAGCAGGCGCCGGGCGGGCCTGGCGGGGCCTGTCCAGGTGGGGCTCGGGCCGGCCAGTCTCACACTCCAGCCCGCAGCCCTGGCACCAGCACTGCCCCGGCAGAAGTCGGATGAGCTCCTCAGAGGTGTTGAGCGCGGCTCTCGTTTTATTTTTAGTAGAAACCAAAGTAATTTCTGGAAGCAGCGCGAAGCGGCCAGGAGAAACACGCGTGACTCTGTCTGCCCCACCCGTGGCGCGGAAGCTGGCTCCAGCTCTCCTTCCCGATGGGCACAGCTCTCCAAGCAACAGCTGTGCCCTTAGCCCCCGCTCCGAGCCCCGGGACAGCCGGCAGCAGGGCTTCCGGGAGCCCCGAGACCCCGAGCCTGGGTGTGTCGGCCCCGCGCCGGGTTCAGGCGCATCTCCGCAGGAGGACAGTGCCCTCCAGGTAGAAAGAGAGGGGCCCACAGGTAAGGAGCTGGGGCGCAGGGCCGCCCCCCACCCGACGCGGCGCAGGGTCTCCTGGGCCCTGGGCCACGTGAGCGCCCCTCTCCAGAGGGGCGGGGTCAGCAGGTTTGAATGGAGGGAAACCTCTACCTGCAAGCCGGGGCTGCCCCGGGTCACGGACTCCAGCCCACTGGTACGGGTCGGCACCCCGAGTCGGGAGGTCCCTGCCGGCCGAGGCAGGTGCCCAGGCTTGGCTGGAGAAGGTTCGAGATGCCAGTGGGGGCTGCAGCTCTGAGGCAGTGCCTGACCGCCCTCTCACACCCCCTGGAAAACAAAGGGCAGAAGTTTAGAAGCACAGAGGAGGCCTGAGGGCCTCACGCGGTCAGAGGAGGCCTGAGGGCCTCACGCGGTGGGCTGGAGGCCTCGGGGTGACCGTGAGCAGGTCGTGAGAGGTTGCTGGGCCTCCTCTGAGGAGTGGGGTAGAGGACGGCCGGTCCAGCCCGGTACCGGGGGTGGCTGGGGAGGTGATGGCAGGGGAGGGGACAGTGGGGGAGGGGACCGCAGGGGGAAGGGACAGCGGGGGGAGAAGTGATCCCCAAACACACTGAGTTGCCGCCTGTGACGGGGCAGCCCCCTCTGGCCCCCACAGAGCCAGCTCCTTGGCACCGGGCCAGCCCCACACAGCAGCAGCCCAGCAACTGCGGGTCTGTGGCTGCCTTGCAGAGGGAGGCCTCTGCCCGGCGGGGCAGTCAAAGGGGCTTTTCACAAAGGGGGCAGGGGCAGGGAGGATGCTGGAGAGGGCCTGGAGGGGGCGGCGGGGGCATCTGGCGAGGCTGCATTTGGGGGTGACAGTGAGGTGGAGAGGGCCAGGGAGTGGAAGAGCAATGGAGGGCATCGTGTTCCAGGGAGGAGCTGGTCGTGAGTGGCCAGAGACTGACTGTGGTTCCCGCTGGGGCCTAGGCCCACATGCTCCCCTGCGCTGGCCTTTTCCGCCGGGGACGCACGATGGCCGGAGGCGGCCAAAGCACAGGGGAGCCCGCTGGTCAGCAGTGCGGAGCCGGGGCGTCCCCGGCCCACTGGGGGACGCAGCTGAGCAGCACTCTCCGCCTGGTGTCACCGGGCAGTGGACGTGAGCCCCGCGAGCCGTGCCCCGTCGTGGAGCTGTGGACACCGAGCAGGACGTGGTCTGAAGACCGGACAGAAAATGCTTGAGCACCAGACACCCGGGCGACGCCCCGCTGGCCAGCCAGCGGAGGGCGGCACGGGTGCCCAGCGGCCAGGCCCAGGAGAGGCAGCCCGGCTCGGCCCAGTGAGGCCACTGACCCCGCTGAGGCGTTGCCGGGCGTCTCTGTCCGAGGAGCCGGGGCCACGCCTGGCACCTCTGACCAGACCCTGCATTTCCCCAGGGGGTCCCGCCTGCTGTGACTTGGTGGTGAAAATAAAGGGAAGCGGGGAGAGGGGGGCGCTCCCAGCGCCCGAGCCCCAGCCGGCGCCCCCCGAGGAGCCAGACACACCCGACCCGTCGGAGGACTGTGCCGAGGGCCAGGCGACGCCCGCCAGCCCCTGGACCTTACAGGTAGGCCGGGGTCCACCCTGGAGACCGTCCTCGGCGCCCGGGGCTCAAGTGCTCGGCTGCTCCGAGGGCGGAGACCGGTTCCCTCGGGCGTGTGACTCCAGGCGGCGCCCTGAGCTCTCTGAGCCTCTGCTTCGCAGGGTGAGTAGCGGGCAGTGGCTGCTCCCCGGGCCGAGCGGCGGCCGCATGGTCAGGGCCGGCCGGCAGGCGGAGCGCGGCGATGGCTCCGGCGTGCGGCCGTCGTCACGGCCCGGGGAAACCTGCCGCCTGGCCCCGGCTGCGGCTCGCTGGCTGAGCCGCTGGGTGGCTTCTCGGCCGGACCACGCCGGTCTGTTGCCTCTGCAGGGCTTCCCCGCAACGTGGGCTATTTCTCTGCTCCGCGTAGGAAGCGCTGGAGGCCCACAAACCGCAGTTCATCTCTCGCTCGCAAGAACGCCTGAAAAAGCTTGAACACATGATCCACCAGCGGAAGACCCAGCGCAAGGACCCCCCGGCGCAGACGCAGAGTTTCCTGCCCGTGCGCGCCGCCAAGAAGCAGTTCACCGTGCCCCACCCCCTGAGTGGTGAGCGGCGGGGCTGGGGGCTGGGTGCGGCTCGGGGGCAGGGGTTCCAGGGCTGGGTGCGCCTGGCGGGGTGGGGACAGGATTCTGGGGGCTGGGTGCGGCTCGGGGTCATCGGGATGGGGGCAGGACTGTGGGTGCTGGGTGTACCTGGGGGGGCAGGCCTTCCAGAGGTGCCTGGCGGGGTGGGGTGGGGGCAGGACTGTGAGGGTTGGGGGCTGGGTGCGGCTCGGGGTCATCGGGGTGGGGGCAGGACCGTGGGTGCTGGGTGCAGGCGGCTAGGTTGGGGTGCGGCCAGGGCTGCAGGTGCCGGGTGCGCTTGGCCGGGGTGGGGCACGGGCGGGGCTGGAGTCTTCTGGCCAGGTGATGTCCCGCCCACCGACACCTCACTGGCGCTCCCTCGCGGCCCCCGTGGGCGCCCGCCTTCAAAGTAAGTGCACTCCGAGCGCCGGGTCCAGCAGAGTAGCTCGGACCGACTCCCTCGTCAGCAGGGACAGCCGCACGCTGCAGCGGGAGCGGAGCAAGTCCAGATTCTTGGCTCCCGGCGGACATTTGCAAGAGCTCCCCTTACCCTTTGTCAGCTGCAAGACAGCTCAGGGACAGAGGTGGACCCCAGCTGGTCTGCGTCAACATGTCACCCCGAAGCCTCCTTCCTGCTGGGGCTCAGGGCCCGAGCCCCAGCTTTCCAAGCCCAGAGACGCCGGTGCACGCGGAGCCTTGCGGGGCCTCCGCACTCGCCAGAGAGGAGGCTCTGCAGCTGCCCCCCGGCAGCCACCGTGCTGCTGGCCGGGTCAGCCTGGCCGGCAAGGCCAGCTCCGCTGTGGGCACACAGCTCACGCATAGAGTGTTAAACCCGTGAGAGTACAAGAAGACGCGAGATGAAATGGGCCTCACGCCGGCAGCCTGCCAGCTCACTCCTAAACGCTGGAGGTGGGGACCCTCCCTGGGGGCGCAGCGGGGTGAAGCCCAGCACTGAGAAGCTAAAGCCACTGCAGCACGAGTTCGATCCCCGCCCCGAGGTGACCCCAGGGCGCGGCAGACCTCTCCCTTGCCCGCTGCTCCCCTCAGCAGTGTGCTTCGTCAATCTGCCTGTTCTGCTCCCCAGTCTGTCTCTGGGGAATCCTGCACCTCTGGCCTGTACCCCAGTTCTGTAAGCACAAACAAATAAATCTTTAAAAAAAATCTGGAGGTGGTGAGGCGGAGGCATCCCTCTACTCCTTGGCTGGAGGGACTAGCTCACTCTTCCTAGGAAAACGCTGTGGCCAGGAGGTGAAGTCATGGATCTAGTTCTGAAAGTCTTCTGGGGAAAACCGTACCAGTAACATGAAGCTAAGCAGACCCCTGAGATGGAGCAGAGGGGCCTGAGGCGGCTGCGTCCTCGGCCGGAGCACCCCGGGGATGCGGCCCCGGCAGCCTGGAGCGCCGCCTCCTGCCGCCACGGATTCCGCCAAACGCCGCAGCCCCGCCAGGCTCCCGCGGGGTGCTCAGAAGAGGAGGCAGCCAATGGGAGAGCTGCGCCCGCCTCCCCAAAAACCTGCCCCTCCCGCGAGGCAGTTCAGCCACCAAGGCAGACTCGACGGATGGCGTGTGCGCCCCAGGGCCTGGTCTGGGTCGCCGGGAGCCCCGGGCCCCGGGGTGACGCTTGGGCTGTGACGGGGCCGGGGGTGGGGCCGGGGCGGCCGGCGCTGGAGCCTCAAGCGGGAGGAACAAGGCTCTGCTTATCCGGGGTGCGTCCCCGATGCGGAAGCCCCTCGCCCCTTGGAAGATGCCGCCTGACGAAGGCGTCTCGTGGCCAGGGTGTTGTCGGTACCAGAGGAACAGACGTTTGGAACGGACAGAGCCTCGCTGCCGAGCCGTCCGCACCCGCCTCCTGGCACGGGGCGCCCGTCACCAGGGCACGGGGGAGCCCCCGGTCTCCGACTTGCCTCCGTGCGGCGGGGTGTGCGCGCCTTAACTTCTGGAAGGCCGGTCAGTGCGGAGAGGCCACCCTGCGGTCTCTGTCAAGCACACGAGACGCCCACGAGGGGCGCTGGCCAGCGACGCGCCGATGACCCATCTGGAGGACCGTGGCGCCCAGACGCCAGCTGCTCTGTGACGTGGAGACACGCACCGGACAGCCTGCCACCCCAAAATACACTTACGGGGGTCCCTTTATAGGGAAGCACTTGGCTATAGATCTCCCCCAGGAAAAACACCCCGTTTCCATTCCTGCTGGGCGGCGCAGTCACGAGCAGCATGTTCTGCGCTGTGAACTCAGCGGCCGAGTAGCCGCCACGCAGCGCACAGGGCCCAGCCCAGCGTGTCCCGGGCCCCGGCACCGAGGACCCCCCGGGCGGGAGAGCCGGCGGCAGGAGGCGCCCTGAGAGCTGTGGGACGCGGACCACCCCATCTCCTGAGGACTCTGGAAGTGAGAAGGGAGCCCGGGGGCTGGCGCAGAGGCCTGGCGAGGCTGTGCCGTCCCGGCCCTCCCGCCTGAGCCCACCGCCCCCTCGGGGGAT